AGAACAAATTGTCTATGGGAAGAAGGTTTTGTTAAAGCTATACTAATTAAATTTTCAGTTGAAGGGACTGAGAATTATTTTATGCTCTATGTTTTACAATGAAATCCAATTTCATAAATTCTTAATATTTCCCTAGCTAGGCTAAATATATGCTTGTGAATTTAACTTGACGTGGATGTGTCTTCAACAATAATAAATATTGTTTGAATAAAATTGTTTAATGTGGGACTTCCCTGGTGCATATTTATTTAGAATGAAGGATTTTCATGGTAAAACCATGGTTTTATTTTAAAACTAAAAGCAAAAAAAGCTAGTGAGTGAACAATTAGTAATAGAATTGCCAAGTATGTCATACAATTGTGCTTCTCTGTCACATTTCATAAATTGGAAGTATTTCTCAAATTCTCCCCTGGTGCATATTGGCATTATCCATGTGCAGAAAATTATAAAGTTGATCGTATATGTTACTTTGGGGAAGAAAATTTATTTTCTTCTTTGTTTATGGTCTATTTGCCATTCCATATTCTAGAATGTAAAAAAAGAAGTTGTCTTGGTATTTGTCAGAACAGTTTCTTGTTCGTAGAAATAAAAATAAATTACAAACTTATAGGAAGAAAATAAGGTTTGGCTTTAAAATGCTTTTTGTTAAAGGGATAATGATATAGATTTGAGAGGCTGATTGATATCATTACATAATAGTTTAAAATACAAGATCAACTTGACTTAGCTTTCAGGAACAGTTTGCAGTTTGGGCTCAAATGGAGTGTTGTTAAGATCAGGTTTCTTTCCGTACTCAAAATCTGGGTCACTGAAAAATTTCCATCATCTAAACTTTTTAGTCTAAAAATAATTTAACAAAGTTAAGAATGATGGACTTCTGAGTAGTTCAAATGGCTAAATACCAATTATTTCTCAGAAAGTTAATTTAATTAAAAGCTTAGACTAACTTCTATTAAACACTTGATTACTTAGTTCTCAGACACGTGGTATCTCAGTTAACCGTTCTTATTAAGACTTTATATTTTTAGAGCAGTTTTAGGTTCACAACAAAATTAAGGGGAATGTACAGAGGTTACTCATATACCCCTTACCCTGAAACATGCATACCCTCCCCCATTATCCACATCCCCACCAGAGTAGTACCCTTGTTACAACTCATAAATCTACTTTGACACATCATACTCACCCAAAGTCCACAGTTTGCATTAAGGTTCACTCTTGGTGTTGTACGTTCTATGGGTTTGGACGAATGTATCACGATATGTATGCGTTAATGCGGTTCCATACAGAGTAGCTTCACTGCCCTGAAAATTCTCTGTGCTCTGCCTATTCATCGTCCTCCACTTCTCCAGTCCCTGGCAACCACTGATCTTTTTACTATCTCCATAATTTTGCCTTTTCCAGAATGTCATGTAGTTGGAATCATACAGCGTGTAACCTTTTCAGATTGGCTTCTTTCAGTTAGTAACCTGCATTTAAGTTTTTTCATGGCTTGAGAGCTCATTTCTTTTTAGCACTGAATACTGTTCTATTCTGTGGATGTACTATAGTTTATTTATCCATTCACCTATGAAGTACATCTTGGTTGCTTCCAAGTATTGCTAGTTATGAATAAAGCTGCTATAAAGATCAGTGTGCAGGCTTTCGTGTGGATATTCGTTTTCAAATCCTTTGAGTAAATCCTAAGGAGTGTGATTGCTGGATCTACATATGGTAAGAGTATGTTTAATTTTGTAAGAAACTGCTAACCTCTCTTCCAAAGTGGCTCTATGATTTTACGTTGCCACCAGCAACGTATGAGAATTCCTGTTACTTTACATCTGTGTCAGCATTTACTGTTGTTAGTGTTCCAGATTTTGGCCATTCTAACAAGTATGTAGTAATATATCACTGTTGTTTTAATTTGCATTTCCCTGATGACATGATATGGAACATCCTTTCATATGCTTATTTGCCATCTGTATATGTTCTTTGGTGAGGTATCTATTAAGGTCCTTGGCCCATTTTTAATTGGATTATTTGTTTTCTTATTGTTGAACTTTAAGAATTCTTTGTATATGTTGGATGAATTATTTATCAGATGTATCTTTTGAAAATACTTCCCTGTCTATGGCTTGTCTACTAATTCTCTTGAAATTGTTTTTCATGAGAAGGTTTTAAATTTTAATGAAATCCAGATTATGAATTCTTTCTTTCATGGATTGTGCCTTTGTTGTTGCATCTAAAAACAAACCTAAATGACCAAACTCAAGGTCATTTAGGTTTGTTTCTATGTTATCTTCTAAGAGTTTTATAGTTTTATAGTTTTGTGTTTTACATTTAGGTCTGTGATCCATTTTGAGTTAATCTTTGTGAATGGTATAAGGTCTGTGTCTAGATTCATTTTTTTGCTATGTGGATGTCCAGTTATTCCAGCACCATTTGTTGAAGATTTTATTTTTTCTCCGTTGTATTGCTTTTGGTCCTTTGTCAAAGATCAGTTGACTGTGTTTATATGGGTCTGTTTCTGGGCTCTCTATTCTGTTTCATTGATCTGGCTCTATATTCTTATGCCAATTCTTATGCCAACAACACTGTCTGGGTTACTGCAGTTTTATAATAAATCTTGAAGTTGGGTAGAGTCAGGCTTCCAACTTTGTTCTTGTCCCTTCACATTGTGTTAGGTCATCTCAGTTTTTGGCCTCACCATATAAATTTGGAGTCAGTTTTTCAATATCCACAAAATAACTTGCTGAGACTTTTATTGGAATTGCATGGGATCTATAGATTATCTTGGGAAGAACTGAGATCTTGACAATACTGAATCTTCCTCTCTATGAACATGGAATATCTCTCCAATAATTTAGTTCTTGACTTTGCTGATAGGAATTTTGTAGTTTTCCTCATATAGATCTCACACACTCTTTGTTAGATTTATATGTATTTCATTTTTGAGGGTGCTAATGTAAAATGATACTATGGTTCTAATATCAAATTCTTCTCATTCATTGCTGGTGTGTAGGAAATCTACTGACTTTTGTATATTAATCTTGTATCCTGCAATCTTGTTATCATCGCTTCTTAGTTCCAGGAGCTTTTTTGTTGATTCTTTCAGATTTTCTACATAGATGATCATGTCATCTGTGAACAAAGACAGTTTTATTTTTCTTCCCAATCATTATAATTTTACTTCCTTTTCTTGTCTTATTGCATTAAGTAGAGCTTCCAATATGATGCTGAAAAGCAATGGTGAGAGGAAGACTTGCTTGCCTTGTACCTGAGCCTTAGTAGGAATGCTACAAGTTTCACCATTAAGTATGATGTTAGCTGTATGTTTTTGGCATATATTCTTTACCAAGTTGAGGAAGTTTCCTTCTATTCTTAGTTTACTGAGAGTTTTGATCATGAATGGGTGTTGAATTTTGTCAAATGCTTTTTCTGCATTTACTGATATGTCATTTAACCTTCATAATCATTTTCTTGAGACTGATATTTTGCTATATCCACTTCACAGATGGGAGAATTAAGCCTCAACAGTGAAGTAACTTGCCAGTAGTTCCCACAGTCTCTGGTGGAACCAGGATTAAACCTACAATTGTTTGACCTGCTCTACAATATGCTGCCTCCCTGTGCTTACTGTCAATTCTGACTCTTTGGCTCTGAGGTAGTAGAAAAATAGATTCTCTCATCATGAAGCTCACCGAACTAAACAGCCTATCAATATTAAGCTATATACTTATTTGAAATACAGATGCTTCTCATTATTCACGGATTCTGTATTTGCGAATTTGCCTACTTGCTAAAATTTATTTGTAACCCCCAAGTCAATACTCAAGGCACCTTCATGGTCATTCACACACATGTACAGAGCGGCAAAAAGTTGCAGTCTTCCAGTGTGCCGGTTCAGTGCTGAGGTCAAACTCAGTGACACCCTACCTTCTTATTCCAGCTCTCGTACTGTAAACAAGTGTCCTATTTGTGCTCCACTTGGTGCCAAGCTTTTGCATTTTGTGCTTTTTTCGGTGATTTCACTGTTTAAAATGGCTCCCCAAGTGTAGTGTAAAGTTCTAAGTGCAAGAAGGTTGTGCTGTGTCTTATGGAGAAAATACGTGTGTTAGATAAGCTTCACTCAGTCCTGACTTATAGTAATGTTGGCCATGAATTCACTGTTAATGAATTAACAATATATATTAAAATGTCTTTCAGTGGAAACAGACATAAAACAAAATTATGAATTGACGATGAAAATATTGGACCAGAGGCTCACAGAAACCTAATGTTGTATTTCTCATAAAAGCCATGGTTCAGTATCTGCTAATTTAGTGTTTGCAAAGGCTTTATAGAACATAACTACCACGAATAAAGAAAATCAGCTTATAAGGTTTCACTGTCTTTGTAATGGTGTGTTCATAGAGGTGACTTCTTGCCCTTGGATTAAAGTGTCACTGGGATATCATTTTACTGGCTATGCTAAGCTCTCTTCAGGGATTCACCCATTTTCTCTAAACCACTGTATTTGTTTCCTATTGATGCTCTAACAAATTACCACAAACTTAGTAGCACAAACCTCACAAATGTATCATTTTACAGTTCTACAGCTCAGAATTCCAAAATGGGTTTTACAGGGCTGAAATCAATGTGTTGTCAAGATTGTCTTCCTTCTGGAGCCTCTAGGGGATAATCTCTTTCCTTACCTTGTCCAGCTTCTAGAGGTCATCTGCAGTCCTTGGTTCATAGCCCTGCATCACTCTGACCTCTGCATCCATCATCATATCAAACCTCTGACTCTCCTATCTCCCTCTGCCAGTTATAAGGACATCTGTGATTGAGGATGTCAGCTTGTAGGTCTGTCAGTTATTTGCTCTGCAGCCCCAATTCATTTAAGTATAGCACCATTATAAAGCAGATGTTTCTCTTTGCATCTTGGAAGAATCGCTGATTAGATCCACCTTTGGGGGTAGCACAGTGCTCTGGTATTTAGGACGTTTTCACTGATGTCTTGTTTTTTTTCCTGTTTCTAGCCCTCAGAGCCAAGTCAAACCATTTGTGTGTCCAGAGAAGAGTTTGTGCAGAGGATGACAGAGATTGTTGGTTGGGGCACAAAGGAAGAATATGGAGAGCTCTTTTTTTTTTTTTTTGCGGTACGCGGGCCTCTCACTGTTGCGGAGCACAGGCTCCGGACGCGCAGGCTCAGCGGCCATGGCTCACGGGCCCAGCCGCTCCACGGCATGTGGGATCTTCCCGGACCGGGGCACGAACCCGTGTACCCTGCATCGGCAGGAGGACTGTCAACCACTGCGCCACCAGGGAAGCCCGTGGAGAGCTCTTTGATAAAGTGGATGTGGCCCAAGATGGCTGTATTAATTGGGACAAGCTGACTTCATTTATGCTGTTAACACTTTATGAGAAAGATGAACAAGCAAAGGCAATGGTGGTTCCCCAGTGGAAAGACCTTGAATGCCTCCCAGTGAAACGCAAGGACACCATTCAAAAAGTAATTTTCTTAAAAAGTTCAAGTCGTTATCTGATCATCAGGAAGGAGGGTGTAGTAGGAATCTGGGGAGAGAATTTAAAGCTGCAAGAAATGCTTCCCATCACTTCAGATGCCAACAAGCTTAAACACCTGTGGCTGACAAGTATGGCTTCTCTGGAAAATGTAAATAAGGTACAGAGTCTTTAGAAATAAATTTATTGCTTGTAAAAGGGGGGAAATGATAGGACAGGGCTCCTGATCAATAGCAAGTATAACACTAGCAGTGACAGAGAGCTGCATCACTCTTTTGTACCTCTCATCTCACCTGGAGGGAATGCAAGTAAAGCCAAGTGAGTTACTCCAATTCACAGACTGTTCTGTTTTGTGCCTTTAAATAGCAAGGCTGGTAGTGACTCAGATTCTTGGCTCTGTCCCCAGTGAGGCCATGCTGCATTACTAGCTGATAAGACCTTTATGACTCTGTAGTTTTTAGCAGAGTCTTGGGTCTGTACGCAGAGCTGAGAGGCTATATCAGTGCATAGCACAGCTCAGTGCAATTTCAGGGAATTGCTTATCTGATGTTGACCACTGTACTAGCCAGTTTCCTAATTTTGTTGGGTAGGGCCCGTTCAGCCCAAGCACCCTCATATACCTAGACCTATGAGAAAGATAACATGCTGAAAGGAAAATCAATTTGTGAGGGAAGAATGCAGCTTAAAAAATCCATATTCTTAGTATTTTACATTAAGCAGATGGTAAATTTTACTATGAAAAAATTTAAGCTTACACACAAGCAGAGATAATCCCATTAAGAACCAATATCCACCCGTAGCCATTTACAATTCACAGCCAATCTTGTTTCATCTACATCTCCCCCTATTGAAATCCAAAACATCCAATCATCTAATCTGTAAATATTTCAGTATTTCGAAAAAAGTCTCTCTTTTTAGCATAACCATAATACCATATCACATTTAATATCGATAGCAATAATTCCTTAATATCATCAAATATCCACTCATGTACATATTTCTGTGTCTTATGATTTTTTTAATAGTTTGTTAATTATTTGTTTGATAGTTTGAATCACCTAATGACTAATAATGTTGAGTATATTTCCATGTGCTGATTTGCTATTTATCCTCTTCGGTGAAGTGTCTGTCCAAATCCTTTGTCAAGATTGTTCATTGCTGGTGAATATAAATAGTTTTAAAAAGTAATCTTATATTCTACAACTTTGCTGAACTCACTTATTGGTTCTAATTGGTTTTGTTGTTGTTGTTGATTCCCTAAGATTTTCTGTATATAAGATCGTGTCATCTACGAACAGAGTTAGTTTAACTTCTTCCTTTCCAATCTGGATGCCTTTTATTTACTTTTCTTGCCTAATTTCCCTGGCTAGAAACTCCAGCACTGTGTTGAATAGAAGTGGTGAGAGAGAACAGCCTCATCTTATTTCTGATCTTAGGGAGGATACAATCAAATTTTCACCATTAAGTATGATATCAGCTATAGGTTGTGTTTTTGTTTTGTTTTGTTTTGTACATGCTCTTTATCAAGTTTCTTTCTATTCCTAAGTTGTTGAATACTCTTATCATGAAAATGCGTTGGGTTTTGTTAAATGCTTTTCTGTATTTATTAAGACGATCATACCACCTTTTTCCTTTATTCTATTAATATGGTGTATTACATTAGTTGATATTTGTATGTGTTAAACTAACCTGGTATTCCTGGTGTTGGGAGGAAGAAATTTTTCTCTACCCTTCTAGGTTGGTCCAATAATTAAACTGAAATGAGACAGATTAACAAGGGAAATCAAACAAAAGTCTAATAACATGTATATATGGAAGGGACCCAGGAAAACTGAGTAACTCACCAAAGTGTCCAAAGTCTTCACCTTAAATATCATCTTTAACAAAGACAAAAGAGGGTGTTGGGATGGTGGTTTGGGATCTCAAAGGGAATGAAGGCAATTTACATGAGGATGGAAAAGCAAATATTTGGTATACAAATATTTGCTGGGCCATACAGAGATGCTGGGACTCAGAGTGGACTCTAGACCCTGAGTTTCTGCCATTGCATCTAGCCCATGGTCTTTGCAGATATCTCTGGTGATAGCTCTATTCTACGAACAGGCCCTTTATCCAAATTCTTCAGGCAGCTAGGGGGGAGGTAAAAAGAAAAACTTCTTAAAAAAAAAAAAAAAGAAAAACTTCTTGAGTCTTCTGTTTCTTAAAAATAATCAACCTAAATTAATCCTCATGCCAAATAAACACATTTTGAGGTGGCAAATTTTGTTTCCCTACACTGGTATAAATATTACTTGGTCACGGTGTGTAACCTTTTTTATATGTTGCTAGATTCTCTTTGATGGTATTTAGCTGAAGATTTTTACATCTCTATTCATTAGGAATATTGGTCTGCAGTTTTCTTTTCTTGTGATGTCTTCGTGTGGTTTTGGTATTAGGAAATACTGGCCTCATAAAATGATTTGGAAAGTGTTCTCTCCATTTCTAGTTTTTGGAAGAGTCTGAGAAAGATTGGGGTTAATTCTTTAAATGTTTGATAGAACTTATTAATGAAAAGCCATTCAGGCCTGGGATTTTCTTTGTGGGAGATTTTTTTGATTACAAATTCAATCTTTCTATTTATTATATGTCTGCTGAGATTTTCTATTTCTTCTTAAGTTAGTTTAGGTCATTTTGTGTTTCTAGGCATTTGTACCTTTCATTTCAGTTATCTAATTTGTTGGCTTACAGTTGGTCATGGTATTCTCTTATAATCCTTTTCTCAACTTCTGTAAGGTTGATGGTAATATCTACTCTTTTATTTCTGGATTTAGTAATGTGTATCTTCTCTCTTTTTGGGGGGGTTAGTCTAGCTAAAGTTTTGTCAATTTTATTTACAAATGTCTTTACCCTTTCTTAAGTAGTTTTTAGGATTTTATTTGACTTAGGAAGGCTACTTACAGAATTTTTATCAATTTATTTCTGTGAAAGCCTCTGCTTGCCTCATAAAACGTGGTTTGTAAAGTTTCTGTATGGTTGTGTGATGCTGTAGACCTCTATGTCTTTGTCTTTCCTGTGATTAGTTACCTAGTCTCCCATGGGTGGAAGAAGTTGGGGGTCTGTGAAGTAGCGATAGGGAAGAAAGTGTGTTCAAATGGGAAAGTTTTTATCTTGCCTAGAATACTTGGTTAGAATAAAGCACATTTGTGCCACCATGCTATACTTCTGTAATACATTAAGGACCCTCAGGTGAAAATGTCTGATTTGGTGCTAAGATTTGCATGTCTGCTTTTCATATTGTTTTCACTAAATCCACCAGAAATATTTTCTGATTTTCTACTTTGCTACTTTAGATAGCAGTGGCTTTTACAAGAAAAGAGATTTGTTTCTATGATCTGCTGTCCAAAGAAGAATTTCCTTGTCAATATAAACTCCAAGGCCTGAAAGGAACACCAATTTGCATGGATTATTGGTACGACCCTTTTGATGCCAATGAGTCAATTCTTTCTCTTGGGGACGTAACCGGAAAGGTAAGTGAGGGAAGGATAAGGTTGAACACTATGGATTTAATCATCAAAGCTTAGCTCAAAATAGAAATAGAGTACAATGAATGTGACCCCCTAATTGAACTACTTTATAGATTATAAGGCCACACACCTTGGACATGAAAAAGATGGATTAGGTCATAATTCCCCTCCTTGCATATGAAAACCAATCTGCCCTATGGTTTGCTTGCCTCTGTATAGTCTCATCTTCCTTATTTAGGAAAAAAGTATTTGCTAACTTTTTCACCATAAGATGCTTAATCTATTAGACCCCAATATTAATAAACATTTAATATTGTGTCTAAAGTTATCTCTAATAATTCTTTCAAATTGTTCACATTTTCATTTATAAGATTTCAGGCTTCTCAGTAGCAAGCTCCTGGGAAATGCTTATTTCCTGTCTCATGTGACAAAGGAATAGGTGCATTAGAGAGAGCAGCACTGAGCCCCAGACACTGCATACAATGATTTCTGTCTTCCCATCAAATTCCACCCGACCTCTGAAAAATGACTTCTTACTGAACGACAGTAGAATATGCCTGTGAATGCTGAAATAGTCTAACCTAAACGATTTCCACTCATAATTATGTAAGCCTTTCATCTTTACTGTTTTGTTTTTTTTTTTTCTCCGGCATGCGGGCCCCTCACTGTTGTGGCCTCTCCCGTTGCGGAGCACAGGCTCCGGACGCGCAGGCTCAGCAGCCACGGCTCACGGGCCCAGCCGCTCCGTGGCACGTAGGATCTTCCCGGACCGGGGCACGAACCCGTGTCCCCTGCATCGGCAGGCGGACTCTCAACCACTGCGCCACCAGGGAAGCCCTCATCTTTACTGTTTTTAATGACAAATAGATCATAAAAGCAAACAAATAAAATGCCCTTGGTAATTGCATTAGCAACCTTGTAGTGTCATGTCTTTCAATATAACTGCCTGCAACCTTTAAATAATATTAAAGAAATGCCTGTTAATTCAATACCTATTCCTTATTAATCATAAAGAGCATAGAATCTTCTTGCAACAGTTACCCTACCCATGTTTGTTTTTCTTGTAATGTCTCTCTCAAGGTTCAAGTAATTGCTTTCACAACGGCCTTGATTTCCCTTTTTGAGCATCCTGCTGGTGCATGTGAAGATGAAGAAGCAACTGTGACCATTAACTGGGCAGAGCCGTGCTCTGGACGTCACAAATGTTGCTATACGTTAGGGCACAAACTTCATTGTGGAGACTGGGTCAGACAAGGTACTGAATTTAAACAACAATGAAGGAAACAGTCACCTTAGACTTCTACATTTACATTCTTAATGAAAATGTTTCACACACAGTGTTCAAGTCTAGAAACTAATTGATTCCCTGGAGGTTTTGACCTGGACTCTGCTATCCCCTGCACACTAGCAGGAATTACTTCTTTCTTTTTTTTCCTTCTAAAATTTATGCCTCATACAATTAATTCAGGCGAGCTGTGCAGTCAAGAAATCTCAAGACAGGAGAGAAAATTGTCACAGAATCTATTTAACTTCACCCCAACTCTGATCCGAACTAATTTTGTTTAGTCACATTTGGGCCTACTTAATAAAAGAATTTAACAGGTACCCTCAAAACACTCCCTTGCTTTCTTTATATTCTCATGGGAAGTGTATTAGTTTGACTGCCTTCAGAATGGACTCTTCTCAGTTTTCTTTTCTTTTTTCTCTTTTTTGATATAATGACTGAGTTGCTCTGATCTAGAGTACTTGAGTGGCAGTTTTCTGTGTGATAGGATTATGTTATAAAACAGCATCTATGGAAGGCCAGGACTTTCTTAAAACCTAGTCAACAATGAGTTTGTTAGTTTCACAGTATGCCTAATGTTTTACAAAATTTGCATCTGCTAGTTCAAGATCCATACGTGCAGTTTCTGCTCTGATACCTCCTTTGGTCCAGACACTAAGGACTATGTTATTTTTCTCACTTCTAAACTGCTACATTAAATAATGCTACATTCCAATAATGATTGGAATGGAAACTGTCAATCTCATTGTTGTATTGTAGGTATATTCCTAATATTCTTTGAAGAAGAGGTAGTCAAAATGGACCCAACTGTTGGCTTTTATGGTAGTTTTCCCCTCTTTGAGTTTTAGGAGTTTGGAACTAATTCCTTAATGCATAACCTACAATAATAATATCCCACATGATGAGCTATAGGTTCTGCACTTTTGTCTTCAATATAAATCATACCATGTCTTTGGTACTTTCTACCTATCCTGTAATTCTGGCATGATATAAATTGTGGGAAAACCAAAAGATAAAATTTTTTGGTCATCCACTATGTGTGACAGGCACAAAATTATGTGTTACGTTTTCATACTTGGAAACAAGAAAGTACTAGAAAGTGAAGAGAGTCCTTGAAAGTGAGGGAGGTATTACAGCTGCTTCCAAACAAGCATGATATTTTAATACATAAACCAAAGACTAAAAAGACCACAGTAGTAAAGTTATAGTTCTTGAAATCTGCTTGTAGTAAGTTCCCTGAAGTTTAGTTTGAGTTCCATGACCTTAAATTAATATGAATAAGTACAGAGAAGAAGCTAGCTAATAGAATTCTGTTTTTGAAAAGGTTGGGGATGTAAACAAGGTTTTAAAATTGAGATCATTTGTCTGAACATGAGTAGTGTCTAAATACCCTCTTCACACTCAGGGAGAGAATGAAAAGCTCTCACTCTAGACTGTCACAATTTCGTTTAAACCTCTCAAAAACCAGCGCTGCTGGTGAAGAAATCTGCTGATGAGCTCTTGTCTGTTAAGTTGCAGGACAAGAATTTTTCTCTAGGTCAATGTGAATTCATTGCTCATCATATTTCCAACATATCATTCTGATTTGTAGTTCTTTTACTCACTGACAAAAGAATATGCGAACTTAGTTTAGTATCAGCAGTAGATATTCATGTTTATGACCTAAGGAATCCACCTTTGGAGTTTAGCCTCTAAACCACGGCAATTAGGAATTGGCTACAGACAAGTTTTATATATATTAAAAAATTAGGGATCTTTGTTATCTAATTTGGATTATATATGTCTTAGCTCTTTGAATTAAAACTCATAATCAAGCGAATAGTCTTTGGAAGAATAGCTGAAAGGATATATTTACTTTAGTCCACTTATTTAAATCAGTCGACAATTATTTATATTTTATGTGCTTTAAAACTGTCTTAGGCATTGGAGGCAGTGGAAGAAAGATAAATTATAGGCTTAACTCAAAAAACTTAATAGGTAAGTAAGAATTAAAGACATATAAAAGCATGTATTTGAACATTGTACAATGGTACTGAAAATTAACTACTAAATCATATAAACAAGATTTTGACTCCTATTGTAATTCTTAAGCAGGAAAAGACATGAGGAAGAACTTCAAGGGTGAGTGGTGGTATTCGCAGGATGGATGGGTAGAGGGAGAAAAAGAGAGCATGGTGAACATAAATAAAGGTAGGCAAGTAGGCACAATAATGGAGGGCGAGATGGACATGAATAGATCAGAGATGGAGTATTAAGGACATAACAGTGCCTAGGTCTAATAAGGATGTCTGTTGGAAGATCTTGGCAACCAGGCCAAGTTCACATTTAACAGAAAAAATGAAACAGGGAAGCATTGAATGTTTTTGAGGAAATTTGGGCAGACCTGATGTAGACAGCATTTAGGAAAATTTTATTTAGTAGTTCTGTCCAGCATAGATTGGAGGACAAAGAAAGAAACTGCAATCAGATTGGCTAGTTGGGATCATGAGAAAATGGAAATGATAAAGCAAGAAGACAAACAAGCAACCTTTTGAAACAGGAATCTTCAGGACTTGAGGTCTGAAATGTGGAATGATGAGCCATTTTAGAATATCTCACAAAGACTTCTGTTCCCAGGTTGGGAATGTTCTACTTGCAGTTGACAGATGCCCTCCTGGGCCCAATGCTCAGACTCTCCCCGGCTCACTTTCTCAATGTTGACTACTTCTAGGATTCTTTATTCTGAGATACTCCTGATCTGCCACAAAAGAAGAATCTTTCTTACCAGTATTGTTCTGATACTTCCCTTCCCTTTGCCAAGCTTCATGTTTATCTCTTCAACCATCTAATTCAGATGGACTCTTCCTTGTGTAATTTGCAAACTTCTCAGTTTTGGCTTTGCTCCTGGGTTCCTACAAATTTCTGTACCCACATCAGAATTTTGGTTCTGCCTGTCATAACCCTCCCAATCCCAGATGTCCCAAATTTGGATGTCTCACATACAAATCACATTTATACATAAATTGAAAATTAAAACAATATTCTTAGGGCAGGAAATATGTCCTTTATTCTCTTAGTGTCCTTTATAACACGTAGTATACTGTTTCATACAACTTTCCCTTTCTCACTGATTTTAAGCAATCTGATTGTGATGTGCCTCAGTTTTCTTGGTGTGTGTGTGTGTGTGTGTTTATGCTGACTGGAATTCATTGTGATTCTTGGATTTTCATTAAATTTGAAAATTTTTCTATTGCTATTTTTTCTGAAGTTTTTTGTCTCCCCCTCTTTTTTTTTTTTCTTTTCTGTAAGATGCTTGATATTGCCCTACTAGTTATGGAGGCTTTTTCATTTTTATTCAGCTGGTTCTTTTTTTAAATCACTATGCTTTAGTTGAGTTGGATTCTATTTCTATGTCTTCAAGTTCCTGGATCTTTTCTTCTGAGATATTGCAGAGTGGTTTCAAAGGGTGAGTGAGGCTGCCTCTGTGGTTCAGGTGGGCTAGCGTGCCCCAGTCTAGTGCCTCGCTTGGGGGCATCCCTGTAGAGACCTGTGGTGTGGGCTGCAGCCAATGGAGCCCTGACAAGAGTGGGGCTACTTCAGAGAGCTGCGGCATAGGTGGGGCCGTTGCCACAGCGTGGGCAGTACCTTTGGGGGTGATGTTGCTATCCCAGTACATTTGGAAGGCAGATTATCAGACCAATGGGCTATTTTTGAGCCATAAAGTTTAATGGAGTTTCCCCCTGTTAGGTTTTATATTTACTTGAGACCTATCACCTCTTTGTTCTTTCTTCTTTTTGGAATGGGAATGCCTGTCACATGCCTGTTCTACCATTTTATTTTGGAAACGTGTAACTTGTTTGATTTCACAAGTTCACAGCTTGGAGAGCAATTTACCTCAGGATGGATTGTATCCTGAGTTTTACCCATGTCTGATTTAGCTATCTGGATGAGATTTGAACTTAGACTGTAGAGTTGTTGTTGGAATGAGTTAAGACTTCTAGGACTGTTGAGATGTATTTTACATGTGAGAAGGACATGAATTTGGGGAGAGGGGCAGGGGCAGAGTGTATGGACTGGATTTTTGTGTCCTTCTCCCCCCCAAATTCATATGTTGAAGTCCTAAGCCCACCGCCTACTCCCTTATAATGGTTTCTTTGGGAGATGACTAAGTCATGAAGGTGTAGCTCTTGTGAACAGAAAGAGACCCCCAGAGAGCTCTCTCACTTCTTCGCCACATGAGGGCACAGTGAGAAGTAGGGCATCTGTGAACTAGGAAGTAGACCCTGACCAGACACCAAATCTGTCAGCACCTTGGTCTTGGACTTCCCAGTCTCCAGAACTGTGGGAGATAAATGTTTGTTGTTTAAATCACTAGGTCTTTATATTTTGTTACAGTAGCCTGGACTAAGACATTGAATAAATGTTATTAAAAATATTTCAGAAGAAAAGAGAAACCAAAAGAAATCTTGCAAATATCGGTAGACTTTTTTTTTAAGGGGGGTTATTTATGGTAAAAAGAAAATGGTCAGGGTGAGAAAAATATATTTACCGATAATGTATAGTGTAATACTCTATGAATGGCTGTTGAAGAAATGCAGTAGAAGAGAAGATAACTCAAAAAGGAGAAAGTAGAGAATATGGAAAGGTGAAGTATCTATATAAGACTTTGTCTTCTTTCAAGTTTTAGATTTAAAACTCAGGTACCTCTGAAAGGGGACTGGCTTCCGTCCTAAGCAGTGGATGACTGCCTTTTCCCAGATTTAGTCACTGGGACTCGAAGTTTAAATACAAATTTTTGGTTTTGGGTTTGCTTGCAGGTCAGGTATTTCCCTATGAGGAGAATGCAAGAAGGCTGAAATGAGGAGCCAGGAAAAGGAAGAAGGCAGGCTGGAGTCAAGTAGAGGACAGTGGGCTTAGTAGTGATTGTGCTCCTTGGTCTGCAAGACTTACTGTGTCGGGAGCAAGCAAACAATGGCTGCATCCATGTGATA